ATAATTTTTATCAGAATTTGTCAAAGGAAATTTTTAAGATTTAATGAACGATAAAACTATAGCAACATTGTAGAAATAAATGACAAAAATTAAAAAGAAAACACTTATCATTGTTTGGCATTCAAAACATTTGAACTGTCATCTGCTAAAAATATCAATTCACTTGAAACTTGAATTTAGCTGTAGTTATGAGCCTAGATAATATTAGAATATAATATACAAAAAATGTAATGTTTACATTATTATTGCCGATAAGCAGCTAAGATATACCAGAAATTAAAATAATATAAGATACAGTCAACAGTATTTGTTTGGCAGATGAAATTATATAATTCAATTTAATAAAGAACGCAATAAGTCCAAAATTGCATATAAATTATTTTTTAAACTTATGCGTGTCGCATTTTGGTTTACTTTACTGAATTATTAAACAATACAAAGAATATTTCTACTTATTAAAAAAATGATTTAGAATTTTGTTTCATGTGTTAAAAATTCATTTGTTTGGCATTAGATAAGGAATATTTAGCAAGTTGATCTGAGATTGAAGAGTGCTCATATGAACTATGAGCTACTATTAAATTAGTAGTAAGTAAAATATACTTTAGAAACTATAATTGCCAAAAAGCAACTACTATATCGTACGAGATTATGAAAATATATACTAAATTACTAAAGCAATTATCATGTGTGGTAAAATCAAGTGTGATATTGTTCTTTTACGGGTAATAATATATTTTTTTCTGATTTTTTTATACTGCTTATTCTAAGTTCATAAATGAATCACAAATGCATAAAATAGTATATTAAAAAGTATAAGATAGGATATTAAAAAATTTGGAACTTTTGATATGTAGATGTGGGTACAGGATAAAGTCTGCCGGGTCATCTAGTATATATATACAAAATTTACATTGCATTTCTAAAAAGACTACTTCGTATCAATGCAACCGGTATTATTATATGCAGAAGAATCGATGCAAAAAACAGCGCACCTGGGGCAAAATTAGACCCAAGAAAATGAGGGTCTTGTTTTTTTGGCGCACCCGAGACTGCAATAAAAAATATCGACCTTAAATATAAAAATAGCACGTGCTAAATTGATATAAAGTAAATATTAAGATTTCTTATTGATTGGACATTGGTATGGATAAAACTAGAAAAAATTTTCTTGATGTCTGGATCATCTAGTATTGAGTCTTACAAACTCCTGTTCCTTCCTCCCCGTAACAAATTCAAAATTTATTCGATCATTTTAATGATAAAACTACTATGTGAACAGCTGTTCCCATCAGGGATGAATCTTATGTCACAAAGACTTCGGATATACCGAAACCGTTGCGTACATTGATAGGGGAGTTGCGATTTCTAAAGACCACACATCCACAAGGATTATTATTATTATTCCTGATCGTCCTGATCCTTGAACGGACCACGGATGAGGTGCGGAATCGTTATAGATACATTGGTGAGGGAGTTGGTAAGATAAAAAAATAAGTAAAGACCAAGAGGGTAAGATTCTTCATGTCCGAGGTGCCTAAATTGGTTATAGCTGAACTGATAAATTTTCATGACTTTTATGCAGTGGATAAAATTTTTCTGGTCGCAATTTTACGTCCAAATTGGCAATGACTGGAACTCAGCAAAGTTTTGGTCTAATCTCATTTAATACTGGAAACAAGACCAAGGCAACGAATATTTCATATTTCAGATTTTCAGAAAATAGAGTCATTGGCGGCTAGTACTTTCTATACCTGAAGTAGTTACTTGGAGTATAATTGGCAATTAGTACTTTCTATACCTAAACTGGTTAGTCCTTGCTGTATTATAATTTCTATTGGTCGCAGTTTAATGTCTAACCTATCTCGGGTTAATTAAACAGTTTATGTTCAATTTTTAAAACTGATTCAGTTGTTAGTAAAATGGTTACCAGCCTTACGACTAAGTATAAATGTAATCGAGGGATGATACTACGTACTAGAGTTCAATGAAGATTACATGTCTACGTTTATTGAACATTGGCGTAGATGTTGTAACTAATTACAATAACTGATTCTTTATTCAAATAAAATAAAATAAAATAATGTACTTTGAGTAATTAAGAATTAAAATAATGAATTTTGAGTATTTATAGAAAAAACTTGATAGTTCAGTATTTTTAGAATTATTTCTTGATATGTATTTGAAGTAGAAGTAACACTGGCTGATTCTACTATTGTCAATTTATTTGTCATATGTAATCTGAATATATTATCTTTAAATTTACTAGATGTCGACTAAAAACCGTGGTAAATATGGTAAAATTAAAAAAAAATTGTTAATAGTGTAATTGTAGCAAAAATAAATTTATAACAAAAATCTAAAATTAATGAACTATTTTAAATTATGATAACCGAGACAATGAACAGATCGTCAAAATGTAGTTCTCATAAAAAATTAAATTTTCAGTTTTTTTCTCGACGCCAATGGTTCTCCAGAGATCAGAATATATTTTAACGGTCGCCCAAATGACGATGCAATTGTATTATTGAAGGGCTGGTTTTATTGTTCAATTTTTTTACTATCTATTTAAGATCGAGATTTTGACTACTGGTTGTTAACAATCGAAAGTTGAAGATGATTAATAAAACTGGTTATTGATAAAAAAGATCTACGTGTAAGTAGCAAAAATCAGAATTGGCAATTTTTCAACTTTCTGTAGGCTATTAATACCTGTAGATAAAATGTGGCTTTTAATTAAGCCACATTTCATCTATAGTTATCTATAGTAGACCAATATTTTAGGATCATTGTTAAGACCATAAACTCTATTATCATCATCAAAAATTTTATCAAAATTGTCACGATTTTTTTAATAATTAATTATGAAGAAACGGTTCAAAATAAATTGAAGTTTTTCCACTTTTTTTAATTTGTTGCTTTTACCTGATAATCATATGATAATTACGGGGCCAATAGAATAACTTGCACATTTTTAAAATCGGTGCAGCCGTTTCTTCGGCATCATCACCAGGTCTTTATGACTCATACCCGTTTCAAAATAACTTAAAACTTCGAGAAACCATAAAATTAGCTTAAATTCTTGTTACCAGTTTTGCACCAATAACAAAGAACTATATGTAGACAAAGAAAGCTACCAGGTAGATTTATATAAAACAACAATAGACTTCACTAAACAAATGGAGTAATCTGGGTAAATATCTTGAACAGAACAGATCCCTAGATCAACATAAAATTAATATACATCAGCTGGGGTATCAACACATCTAAAACTAATCAAGGAGACTACATGAAATCTGACTAAAGCATAAAATTCTCTTTCAATTAGTAAATTATTTATGATAAATCCGTGCATTTCAGTAAACTTTCAAATTTTGTAATTTGAAGCTTAAACTTGAAATCGCGTTACCGGTTTTTGACAAATAACAAAGAGCAATATTGTGGACAAAGAAAATCTACCTACTACAAATTTATATTAAACAATAATAGATTTAACGGGACGAATGGGTAATATGGATAAATATCGATATAATTTTATAGGTCAACATGAAATTGATAAACATTATCTGGCGCATCAACACATTTAAAACTAAATAATAATAATAAATAATAAAAAATAATGAATAAAACTAAGAAACTACATGAAATCTGACTAAAGTTTTCCTTCAATTAGTAAATTATTCAAGATAAATTAGTGCATATCAGTAAATTCTCAAATTTGGTTATTTGAAGCTTAATCTTAAAATCTCGTTACCGGTTTTGCACCAATAACAAAGAACAATATTGTGGACAAAGAAAATCTACCTACTATAAATTTATATAAAACAACAATAGACTTAAGGGGACAAATGGGTAATATGGGTAAATATCGATATAATTTTATAGGTCAACATAAAATTGATATACATTAGCTGAGGCATCTGCACATTTCAAACTTATCTTGGAGACAACATTAGATTAGAAAAAAATTCAATTGCAGAAATATAAAATTTTACTATAAGACTTTAAAATTTTCCATTTTCCTGAAAAGGCTACAGTATCAAGTAAGTGGGTAATTACTAAAAATCTTGTAATTCTGATTTTTAAGGATTTTTCTTGGTGATACGTCGGGATGTTTAAAATTACCACATCCACCCCCACCCAACATCACGTGCATTACTAGTACCTAAAAAAGTCGTAAAGATCTGGGATTTTTTTTTTTGAAAAATTTTGGAATCTGTGATATTTTACTTCTTATATTTTACTATTACCACCCCTCACTTGAAATATTTTTACTTGAACATTTTTGGATTCTTTGATATTTTATTGCTATATTTTACTATTTGACAAAAACTAATGTAAATTAGCTGAATGTACTGTATGTATAGTTTGCTAAGAACAATAAAACAAAGAAAAATTACTATTACCACCCCCCAGTGTAATATTTTGTTATTTTTTGTCAAACCCCTCCCCCCCTTTTAATCCTCTCGTGATTAATGGACAGCCCCTAACTTATCAAAGACAAAACGGGACCTGTCTAAAAATTTAGAAAGAAATTTTAAGTCTGCACCCTATGAAAATTTTATTTGACCCTCCCCTTTCTTTCCCTGGACTTCGAAGCTAATTTTCTATTACACCATCGTCCGATTCCTCATCAAACCTCAAAAACAGGACAACAACAAAAGCTCATCGGATCAGACAAAAGCGGCGTGGAAGAAAAGTTCGCACCACGCCGGTGCGAGCGTGACGGAAGATAATCCTATACAAAAAGCGTACGTGTTGGTGAGTCCCGAAAGAGACGGAATGATGATTCTGCCGTTGGTCTCCTCACTACTTTGATATCTCGTGAAGCGTGTTTGGCATTCAACAGTCGGCATTCAGTAAGCTTTTGGCCGGCGAAGAGAACGGTCCATTTTGTAATAAAACTTTATAAAGTGAAACACATTGTGATAACAAAGTTATAACAAATTAAGTTTAAAATAAAATATTTTATCTAATTTTATTTCAAGTGCCTTAGAACACGTGTGATCCCGTTTAGTCCGCAGTGCTATTGATGGTGTGTTATTGTTTGACAATTTTTTTATTTTGAAAATTTTGTTGAAAGTGTGTAAAATTTGTTGCTGTTTGTGAAACAAAAATTTTGCTGTCTGTACAACTGCGGTAAGTTATTTTGATGTTGATTTAATTTGTTTCAAATGTATAGTTCCGACGGTGGACACTGTCTCTTTAGTGATTGATATGTGAAAGAGTGGAAATAAATTGTAATAAATCTTTATAAGTAATAATCTATATAAAGAAATATTCTTATATAACAAGTACTTGTAGCGTTAACTAATTATTTAAAATTTAAAAAAAAAAATAAGGTTTGGATAATATACCGATCAGACAGTACAACATTGTATTGGAAATGCTCAAAATTTCACAAACACAAATTGTAGAGGTACAAGTCTTTTATTTATTTATTTACTCCATTCTAATATTATTATTTTTTGTATATTTTATATACAAATATATTATAATTAATAATATAACTATATATTAATTAGTGTTTCTCATTTTGTGTATTTTGTTTAAATTTCAATGCACTGAAGATGGATCAAACCAAGACTCAAAACGTTTGCTTTTCTAATAAAGACATCCTTTTTTTTAAATTTGTTTTATCATTAGATAGATGGATATTTTATTTATTGCTAAATAAATATTTCCAACCTTGTTAAATACACTAATCCAAAATAATTAATTCATATAATTAATAACTGATTATAGATATACAAATAAAAATAATCTGAATTATCACTTGTTTATACTTGTTTTTTTATGAATTCATTTTTTACAACGCCTAAGCACGTGTTTACTGATATTCACTTATAATTTAAACAAATCTTATTAAATTATTTTCTTATTGTAGTAGTTTTTATATAAAAAATCATGAGAATATTTTTACATATATTACTTTGTTATAAAATTTCCAAAGTTAAAGTATATTATCAGAAATAATTCTGTTAAAAATTTTAAGTGCAACATAAAATCTTTATTATTTAAAAATAACGTCTAATACCTTTTGTATAATAATTTATCAGTAAATAGTGGAAAGTAGTATTAATTTTATTTTATTAAAAACAATAATAAAATTTAGAAAATAATACTAAAAATCCTATTAGCATTCCTTAGTAAATTAGAAATCTTAGGAGCATTTCTTTGTAATATATAAATGTTAACGTGAATCAAATTAAATTTTCAAGATTTTTATAATATATATATACATATATATATATATATATATAGTTATATAATATCCATTAAAAAAAACTATTTTTATAGTATATTTGCACATTTTATATCTTGGACACAAATTAGACGAAAATCTTTTTGTAGAGACGATTTTCATGAACATTAGATGTATTAGTTTTAAAATCTCATTAACTTTATTAAACATATATCAGCGATTTAAGTTTGAAAAAATCATTTTATCATATAAACAATTTTACTCAATTACTTTAAGATAAAATTATTTTCTTTTTAATTAAATTTAAGAGTAACTAGAAAGTTATGGTCAGTAACTCATTCCATCTACAAGAATTAGACAAAAAAATGGTTATTAGTATTGTTAATTTTATATTTATTTTGGTGCTTTATGTATATTTCTATTTTACTAAAGACAGTTAACTATAAAATACTATTAATTCGTGCAATTGAAGACAAGTTTGTAAAAATTCTGTTATAATTCACTTATTATAGCAGCAGAATTATAGCATTTTCTAATTTCTCCTGGCTTACATAATATGTTCTTTATGATTAATGTGTAATATTTATAACATGATAATATGATGTTTACTTAATTTTGCAAAACTCAGAATTTATGAATAAATATACCAAAACTAGAAAAACGTAATATACTAGATCTCTATGAAATATTCCGGATTGTGAAAATTCCCAAAAATTGTAGGCAGCATTGGATCCGTATAAAATATACCGGATTAATACATGAAAACTCCCAAAAATTTGTAGGCTGCATATTTTTATATTTATTATCTTTTTACACAACCTTGTATCATTTATTTTTGCTTAGTGTTTTAATTTTAACGGCTAGACACTTCGTCAAGCATATTATTTCAGAATCGGATTAAATTACAAGACAAACCTTGTTCAATCTTAAAATTACTCGCTCGTATCGCATAACTTGTGTTATAATTTTTGCAAAATTAAAAAAAAACATCATATCATGTTATAAATATTACATATATCATATTATGTAAGTCAGGAGAAATAAAAAATAATTCACAAAGGATTATAATAGAATTTTTGCGAAATTGTTTTTAATTGCACGAATTAGTAGAATGTTGTAGTAAAATGTCTTTAGTACAGTATAAATGTACATAATGTGCAAAAATCGATATAAAATTAACATTTCTAATAATGCTTTTGTATACAAATATGTGAAGTTAATAAATCTCCTCGATGGAATGACTATAACTATCCAGTACTACTTAAATTTAAATAAATAGAAAATAATCTTATCTTTAGTTATGTTAGGGAGCAAAATTATTTATACATTAAATATTCAACAATTTTAGGCGCTGAATATAATTTTTTTTTTAAATAATTAAATTTCAAATTACATGTAGTTATATAATTATAATTACAATTTTCACAATTTTTATTTATGTGTGTAAATGTATATTTATATGAATATTTCGAAATCTATTTGAACTTTTTTGACGTCAGAGTAAACCTACCCTATAATTTTCAGCACCTCGAATTTTTCAAAGAAAATCGAAAAAATATATCGTGATCCATAGATAAGCAACTATAAAAATAAATATAGTCATAACTCTAAGTTAATATGACAATATTGAATATGAAAGCAAAATTAATTCATATAAAAATCCTAATATATTAGGATGAATTAAAGATTAGTATCCTTTTCTATTGAAAGTTTGACAATCCTTTTAAGCATTATGTTCATAATATCTGCTCAAAGTTAATATCCTCCAACATGTTTGCTCAGCAGATTATTTATTGCTCATTCATTCTTTGTCCTTTTACATCACAAAGTGGCCCCACAGTTAAAATCCACAAGGGCCCGTTATTAAAATACAATGTTGAAATTTAATTTACCGCATATAACAACAAATAATTAAAATATATTTTAAAGTAATTTACTAATGTTGATATTATAAGGAATTTGTACGCCAAAGTAGGTTTCTTCCAACTTTGGGTTTGGTCGAGTTGAAATATTGGAAAGTAGTGAAAATCCATTAAACATTCGCATACAAATGACCATTTGACCAATATATAATATATGCAAGACTATTCTACACAAATATAAAAAAAACGAGAAATGAGAGTCCCAATTTTATTGTTTACTATAATACTAAACCGTCATGTATTATTCAAATGACTATATTAACGAATTTTAAATAACTAAATAAAAAATCATTCCAAATAATGTATTGGTAATTAGAAATTTGTTGCCTATTTACAAAACCCTTTTGAAAATTAAATGAGTTTTTGTAGACTGGAATTTTTGTTCAATTTGAACAAGTCAACGCAAATACTTGAAATTAGATTATTTTATATAAATTATCGATTGATTAGTATGTTATCGATAATCCTTATTGAATTATGTGGGTGTACTTTGCTTTATCATTTTATTAACTACTTTATCTTTAATAACAACATTGATAAAACAAAGATAAACATGTTGAATATACATTATATAATAATCATTTGCGGCTTAGATTTTTCTTCAAGATCCCATTTTTTTACAATATAATTTACAAGTGTCTTTAGTGGACATCTGGTAAATCTGGAGACAATATAATAAGTTAAATGACATATGATAAATAAATTACAATAGTAGAAGTAGTCAGTGTTGCTTCTAATTCAAATATAAAAAGATTCCAAAATATCTAGATTTTAAAAATAGAATATAACCTAAATATAAAAGGACTTTTTTTTATTTTACTGTGTTCCAATTTATCCCTTTTCAGTGAAATGATTGAACAATGTATATTATATAATTAATATAACAATGTATATATGTATAATAAATATAACACTGGCAACTACAGAAATAAACTAGTGGTGTATGGCATCGTGCCTTAAGGCAATTTGCTGGAACTTCCCGTACCGTAACAAGGTGTTCAAATAGATTATTATAAATACTGTAACACTTTCTAATATTTATAAGAATTATATAACCTGAAATACTAAGTTAAAATCATTTACTCAAAGTATATAAGTGAGCTTTAGAACTTTAGCCAGAATTAAAATTAAAATCTGAATTATTTTCGATATACAAAAAAAAAATTAAAAAAAAAAAAAATTCTCCCAAAAGCAATTGTTCTTAGAGACTCTTCCTCTATACATTGCTGATATTCGGAATTTTTATAATTCTTTCATAATTAATACCAGCAATGATTTCTTAACTAATAGCAATAAAAATACAGCATATTTTGAGTAATTTTAGTCCCAAATACCGTTGTTAATTTCAATCTTCATCCCACGTTGGCATATCAGAATTTGGGCATAATCCATATTGGCTTCATAATTTTATAAACTGTGCCTTCATAATTCAAAGACTAAATTATCAACTATGTCAGATTTTGCCACGACTTAGTATCCATTCTCTTCTCCAATGTTCAATTTGTATCACTCACTCCCGCAAGTAAAAATAGCGTCGTGGTCTTCGTGCCAGAGTAGGGGGGCCCTCGGTTTTTCGAAAGGGGGGACTCCATCCAAGCACGAGGTGGAACATGTATTATTTCTTTGTATATTTTTCTCCGAAGACCGACCAATCCAACGTTTTGGCCAAGCACCTGCCTTATTTTAAACGCCTCCATTGGCCGCAGTCGCCGCTCGCATCGAGGTACTACTTCGCAATTATTATAATACAAGATACACGCCTGATATTTGTCGAAAGAGTTTGATTATCGAGTCGCATTTAAAAAAATAGTAGGAGAGCTGAGGATAATTTGATACAATTTTGTTGTGCAGGCGCACGTATAAGTTGGGTGATGCCATTGGAGGAACTTCAAATGCTCCTTACCGGTTGCCTAATTTCACCAAAATATGCACACAATTTTAGAAATGCACACTAGCAATTACATCAGCACTAACTTGGCGACTGGAATAACATCAAATTTTGCTAAAACTGT